GGTCGAAGGCCGTCGTAAATCCGATCTAGGTGGTCCATTAGTCGTAGGGTAGGATGTTGCTTTGCCATGGTCATCATTTGAAGTATGAAATCCTTGGCTTTTTCCCGATTGAACTGTCGCCGGTTATAGAATGAGTGTTCAAGTTGTGTTAAATGCCGTTTCGACAAGAAAAATTTTTCGGCCTCCGTTCGGAACGGCTTCCAGGTCGTGATATCCCCCTTCTTTACTCTATACCATTTGAGTGCGTTACCTTCCAGGATCCAGGGCAGGGTGGATACGAGTCGGTCGTGGGGTATTCGATAGCACTCGGCCAACTCCTCCAGTATTTCCAAAAACTGGGATGGATCTCCTTCGCTTGTAAATTTTAAGTTCCATCGCTGTACCATACTCATGGTCTCGGAATCACAACTCTCCCGGCGAGGAAGTCGTTCGGGAATGTGCAGACACTCTTGAGTAACGACTGTTTTTTCTTCTCCTTGAGCTCATTTTCCAAATTCCGTAATAAATTCTCGGTCGAACTCCTCAATCGCTTTTTCCTCACGAGGTCCGCCAGTTGCCTCCTTAGGTACTCGACAGTATATCCTTCTGTCTGTATACTTGCCGCCTGGCACTGTTCTATAAGTTGTTCTGTTTTCAGCAGATAGATCCATCCTAGGGATTCGGGTTTCACTTTCTTATCGCATTTCCGACTTGACTCATCCTCGTTGGCGGATTTTTCGGTTTTGCCGCAGTGCCATTTCGAATCAGGTCCCTGCTCTGGTGCCATTTGTAACGTGGTTTTCTCGTCGGCTGAGGTAAGCTCAGCTGTATCCAGGGTCTCCATAAGGACCCACTAAACCTTATGAAATAATAGGAATAGATTTCTCCCTTTCCTGGGGGTAAAAATCGGATGTTTTATTGATCTTAAATTATAAATTACAATCTACTCAGGTTGAAATACGATAAGATAAATATGGAATATAGGATGGCAAATGGACTTCGGAGATGTTCGTGTTTTCAAGGTACTGGTGCTTAGTTGATGATCGGGGATTCGATGTTAACTCGTATCGTATGCAGGAGGGTGTACGACTCGTGGACAATCGATGACATCGGGCGCACACAATGAATACTCGGGTGGTTGATGTGAGGTGTGATTAGTCGACGACTTGAAGGCGATCGGATACTCGGGGATGACCGCAGGAGGTTGATTGTGGGGAAGATCGGAATTACGGTGTTGCGTTCGGGTGACGCTTACGTTGACGATTTGAAGGTAATCGGGAACTTGTATTCGTCGGTTGTCGACGATCAGGAATTACGATGGTTGTGTTGGGGTGATGTGTTCTGTTGACGATTAGAAGGTAATCGCGAACTTGTGGTCGTCGGTTGTCGACGATCAGGAACTACGATGTTGGTGTTCGGGTGATGAGGGTTGTTGACGATTAGAAGGTAATCGGGAGCAGCTGTCCAGGTCTTCGTGGGCGGATTGACATTCGTACTGGTTGGGCAGCTCGTTGAGGGTAGATTCGGCAGACGATGCGTTCGGCAACTGGTTGCGCAGCTCCTGTGCAACAGCGAGCCGAAACTGCTGCTGTGGAACAGCGAACCGAAGTTCCTGTGGAACAGCGAGCCGAAGATCCTGTGGAACAGCGAGCCGAAACACCTATGGAACAGCGAACCGAAGTTCCTGTGGAACAGCGAGCCGAAACTCCTGTGGAAATGAATTAAAGGTCATTTAGGTAAAGACCAAATAGTAATGGACCCAAATGAAACAATGACATTCTTTGAAGAGAAATCATTAAAAATAACTCTTTGAGTTCGATTTTGTATGTGGGAGGTTATCCAGTTTAGAAATTAATACTATTCTATTTCTATACGCGATTCGTTGGAAGAGTGTCCGCGTAAGTGCAATATTTTAGAAATCAGTGTATTTGCATTCAAATTGATTTCAATTGGTGAATAACGTCTACAGGGTGAGATAAAAAACTGCAACCAACTTCAGGCTGCTGTTATTTCTAAGGCACTTGTCCGAATGCGTTAAAATTATGCCAGTCAGAGCTCATTATATTGTTACAAAGCGTACAAAAGAATTTTCTTTATATTTTTCTGGAAAACCACAAGTGTCTATCGATGAAGCACTCCAGCATTTATATGCGAATACATTTTTTGAGTCTCGTACCACCGGTAAATAAAATGTAAGAAAAATAAAAATTGCGATTGACTTTGTTGCAGTTTTTTTATCTCACCCTGTACAGTCACTCACATTTAAATTCAGGCACACATATAAAAATATTTATATTTAGTGTTCAAAAGAACATAATTTTTCCACATAATATTTTAGTCTTTGTTATTTAATAGTTTGTTCTATGTCAGCATATAACTGACCTAATATAATTTTGGTTTCATTGTTTATTTTATGCAAGTCAGTAACCCAAATAAAGAAACAACTCGATTGGTTTCACAATTGCATGGGTTATTGGCTGAAGTATTTTATTGCTTACTTTGCATTTAATGCTAGTTTTATTGATATCCAAAATGTATAAATACCAAGCGAAAATAAAGATTCTTGCAAGAAATTGTAAACATACCAAGGTTACACAATTCAAGTGTTGTGTATATCTGCTTTAACTCACAAATAAAAAACATTTTTTGGTAACACCGACGCGATTCTGACAAGGATTGCTAAATTCACTCATAAATTTTGAATTTCCCCCCACCGGTGGTAAGGAATTTTAAATATTTATTTGTGAAAGGAGCTAGTTACGTACAACTAGTAGCACCATCCAAGAGCCAGAAACATCTGGAGAAGAAGCCAGTTCCTACATCTGGATCAACTGATAGTTAATCAGGCCAAGGCGGACCTACAGTAATAGAACAACAACAAGCAGCAATTGCCGAATTGAGGAAGGCGATTGCTAACGTGAAAAGGGCTCCACTGGAAAGAAGGACAGCGGAGTTCTACGCCAAGAAGTTAAGGGAAATGGATGCACTCTGGGCGGATATCGACCGCAATGAAAACAAGATACGAGTGGATCCTGCAGCAGAGTCACATCCCCATATCGTCAGTAACGAGTACCAAAACATTGGAGAAGAATATAGGACTGCAGTCGACAACATCGAGGCAGAGATCAAAAGGGGCAAGGAACGAACGCCTCAAAAACCGCTTGCGGCAACAAGGGAGGGTGTTCAAAAACAAACTCGCGAGTTTACTGCAACCAGCAGTGTGGCAGCATTAGTGAGACGTCAGAGAGCTCTAATGCAGTCCTTTCAAACTTTAATAAGGGCTAGTTCAGGCCAAGCTACTCTCTGTCAGACATTGGCTGCAGTTGAAAAACTGTGGATACACGTGGAAGATATCCACTTCAAAATGTTCGAGGACTTTGATGACCCAACGTTGGTGGGGTACGATGCATCAGCATACGTTCTCTTAGACGAAACGTCGTTAAGGTTCAAAGAAGAAATATCGACGCTAACACAGGTCGATCATTCGTCGTCTCAACAGAGATCAGGCTGGAACTTGGCGAATCAAGTTAATCTGCCAAAAATTACAATCCCTCAATTTAATGGGGATTACTCGAAGTGGCAAACGTTTGCTGACATTATTGGGAAAATGATCAACGAGCAAGCCTTGCCACAAGTCCAAAAAATGTGGTATCTCAAAGCCAACGTGACTGGGGAAGCCGAGAAAGTCATAAGGCACCTCGAGTTGAACGAGGCGAATTACGACATTGCCTGGAAGACACTCAAAGACAGGTACAACAACAAGAGAGCTAAAGTGTCAACTAAACTTGAGAGAATGCTAAACCTGCCCAACATGTCTGGCGATAGCAGATCAGTGAAGGACTTTCATGACAGTCTTCATGAATCGTTATTGGCATTGGAGGGTCTTGGAGTACAGCCAAAAGAATGGGATCCACTCTTAATCCACATCCTAACAAAGAGGATGGACAAGACTACTCATGTGTTGTATGAACAGTCGATTGTGGATTCCAAAGAGCTCCAAACGATGGAGCATTTCATGAAATGTTTGAGGGGTCGCTTCGAATCATTAGAAGCTGTTAATGGTATTCAGAGAAGCAAACCGTCAGAAGTGCAGGAAGTGTCAACAAAAACACAATACACTTTTTCATTTTTCATCGAGGCCACAAATAGAGAACAAGTCAGCAGATTTGTCAGTTCAGCAGCCATCAACGGTAGCATCAGCGAATAAATCTCAATCATACGTACTCCTTGCAACCGCACGGGTTGCGATCAAGGCAAATAATGGAAGAAGCTATGAGTTTAAGGCGATTCTGGATTCCGCTTCACAGATTAATCTGGTGTCAGAGCGACTAGTGCAGAGGTTGGGTATCGAACCCATTCAAGCATCTCTCTGTATCGAAGGTGTTGGCGGAAGATCGAGAACCGCAAACCACAGGGTCAACGTGGAGCTTCAGTCACTGACCAGCAAATTCAGAACGAGCCTAGAAGCTCTAGTGTTACCGAATATAGTGCCACCGCAACCAAGTACTGACATCGATATCACATCATGGCCTATTCCAGAAAACATAAAGCTGGCAGATCCCTATTTTTATCAAACGGCCAGGATTGACGTACTACTTGGAGCAGAGTTCTACTTCAACCTGATTCTCTCACAAGAAATTCGAATGTCTAAGGAGCTTCCTATATTGAAGAACTCAAAACTAGGGTGGATTGCTAGTGGAAGAGTTCAGGCTGAATCAGAAACTGTGATATGCGCCGTCTTCGGAGAAGATGAACGTGCTTTAGAAGATTTATTAAAGAAGTTCTGAGAACAAGACGATGTTTGTGAAGACCAGAAGTTGACAATAGCAGAAGAACAGTGTGAAAATCACTTCAACCAAAATACAACAGTGAATGAGAATGGTCGGTTTGTGGTGCGATTACCGTTTGCAGACGACCCTGAGAAGATTTCAGAATCCTTGAATGTTGCAGCATCAAGATTTTTTGCATTGGAACGTCGCTTATCTAAGGATGCAAGTCTTCACGAGCAGTATGCTAAATTTATGACGGAGTATGAGGATCTGGGACATATGATGAAAATACAATCAAGGGATGTGCGTGGTAATCATTACTATATCCTGCATCATTGTGTCCTACGCCCAAATAGCAGCACAACAAGGCTGAGGGTTGTGTTCGATGCGTCTTGCAAATCATCATCTGGTTGGTCACTCAATGATATTTTGCATTCAGGTCCCAGGGTTCAAGGAGATCTGTTTGGAATGCTGTTGCGATTTAGACTGCCGAGATTTGTCTTTACAACAGACATTGAAAAGATGTATAGGCAAGTGCTAGTCGACAAAAGAGATCGCAAATATCAGCTAATGCTATGGAGAAACACTCCAGACAAGGAACTCGAACACTACATGTTAAATACGCTAACATATGGTACGACGTGTTCTCCATACCTTGCTACAAGATGTCTAAAAAGGCTAGCAGATACAAACATGCAAAAATATCCATTGGGCGCGCTGGTACTTCAAAAGAATTTCTACGTTGACGATTGCATGTGCGGGTCTGACAGTTTAACAACGGCAATTGAGATGCGGAAACTGGTTAATATGTTACTACAGGATGCTGGATTTAGACTACGAAAATGGTGTGCTAACCACTTGAAACAACTGCATGGAGTTCCTCCAGAAGATAGAGAAGTAGATCTAAATTTTGACAAGTCATCAACCAAGGTTTTGGGAATAACATGGATTCCTCAAGCAGACCGATTTTGTTTGAAGAGTGATGTGAATGAATGCACAATCGTCACCAAGAGGAAGGTCACGTCTGATTTGGCAAGATTGTTCGACCCCTTAGGAATTGCAGGTCCTGTGGTGTCAGCAGCGAAGATCTTTATTCAGCAACTGTGGAAGGATAAACTAGTCTGGGACGAGGAACTGCCACCAGAAAGGGCAGCATGTTGGTTATCGTTCAGAGAAAGCCTGAAGATGTTAAATGATTTCAATTTACCCAGACACATGTTTGATGGAGAGAAACCAACAAAAATTGAGATACATACTTTTGTGGACGCGTCTGAAAAGGCATATGGTGCTGTGGTGTATCTTCGTGCTATGCTGCCCGACGGCAGGCATAAAGTCAGACTCCTTTGTTCTAAATCAAAAATAGCACCAATAAAAGAGATCACTTTGCCACGGTTAGAGCTTTGTACCGCTGAATTGGGGGCAAAACTTACAGCTAAAGTCAAGCCCGAATTGGGTTACGACGACCTTCGGACTATTTATTGGTCGGATTCAGAGATTACGTTGTACTGGATCAATTCGGAACCATCGGCACTTAAGACGTTCGTTGCAACAAGGTAAAAAACATACAAAGCAGGTCGCACTCAATGGCGACATGTGGGGACAAAAGATAATCCTGCCGATTTAGTATCCAGAGGTATGAAAACAGATCGTCTGTCGGGATGTCTGATGTGGTTTTATGGACCCACGTATCTACATGGAAATGAATCTCTCTGGCCCGAACCCTTCTTAAAGAATGGAGAAAATCAGACTGATCTTGAATTCAAGACAAAATCTACAGTGTCAGCAATCGCGTCACAGAGTGGGTTACAGGATATAATTTATGGAATCAACCACAAGGGTTCATTTAGACGATTGCAACGTATTGTCGGTTATGTCCTGCGATTTGCCGAAAGGATAAAGGGACGCAAGCATGGATGTTCGACAGATGCACTGACACCTATGGAGTTAAATCAAGCGATGCAACTAATAGTCAAGACGATACAGGTGGCAGATTTTGCGAAAGAAATTCAGCAGTAAAGAAACATGGAGCATTGGACAATTCAAGCTCCATACATAGTTTGACTCCGTTTCTTGATGACGAAGGAATACTTAGAGTCGGTGGCAGGTTGGAAGAGGCAACCTTAGCATACGACACAAAACACCCGATGTTGTTACCATACAACGATCCAATTGTGAAAATCATTCTAAGCATAATCCACTTAGAAAATAGCCACTGTGGCTCACAACTATTGCTGGCAACGTCGAGACAAAAATATTATTATATAATCAAGGTGAAGGCTATGTCTCGCAACATTGTGCAAAATTGCGTAAGGTGCACTCGAGCGAAGCCAAAGTTATACAATCAAATCATGGGAAATCTCCCACCGAGCAGGGTCACACCTGCAAGGCCGTTTGTTGTCTCCGGCGTTGACTATTGCGGACCACTATGGGTCCACTACAAAATACGAGGCAAGAGACCACACAAGGTTTACATCGCTGTCTTTGTCTGCTTCGCAACAAAGGCTGTACATTTGGAAGTAGTTACAGACCTAACAACGGAAGCATTCATTGGAGCATTGAAGAGATTTATCTCGCGGCGAGGGAAATGTCAAACCTTATATTCAGACAATGCGACGAACTTTGTAGGAGCCAAAAATCAGCTCAAAGAATTCAATGAAGCTGTCTATGGAGAGAAAGGAAAAAAGATAAAAGCGGAGACGTGCTCAAGAGAAGGGATCGATTTCCAGTTTATTCCCCCAAGAGCACCACATTTTGGTGGCTTATGGGAAGCCGCAGTGACGTCAGCTAAGCAACTATTGCTTCGTACCACTAGTAGTGCATCACTAACCCACGAAGAGTTGGAAACAATTGTTATTGAAATAGAGGCAATCCTGAATTCCAGACCGTTAAGTCCTATTTCTGACGATCCAAATGATCTAGCTGCATTAACACCTGGTCATTTTCTTGTGGGAGAACCGTTAACGGCACATGTTGATCCATTATCGAACCAATCGTCAACATCATTGACAAACAGATGGACCATCTCCAAAGCGATGGAAGGCGTCAAGCAGCATGCTAGTATCGATAATGCTTGTGGCTTTACTATTTTTACCTCTATGCTTGTGTCATTCGTTCAACATAAACAAGTTTGAGAATAAGCCCGGAATCTATTTTGAAGGAATTGGAATCACAAAAGTAGTAACAGCAGAATGGAAACTGATCACTTATTATGATCTTTCCCCATTTTGGGCAGATATGGATGACTTTTCTACCGGGATTAAAAACCTTCAGAAGATGTTTAAGATAGCAGTTGAAAACAGAAGCTGTGAAATACTATCAGAAAATCTATTTCAAGTACAGAATCAGTTGGAATCTAATTCACTGAACATATTCCCCAGGCGCAGCAGGCGAGGAGCTCTGAACATAGTCGTGAGCCTCGCACACTCGTTATTTGGTGTATTGGACTCGGAATATGCTGAGCAAATGACTGTGACAAGTGAGAAGGCAAATGAAGACAAGCAACATCTATTGGATCTTCTAAGAGGAAGATGTTGAAAAGGCAACACAATTAATTATGTTCCTCACTGCGCAGCTCATGCTACTCTCATCAAGGTTGAAGCATATAGAAGATAACCTAATCGACGTTTTAACGGATGCTCATCTTGGTCGTATAAGCCCATTGCTATTAGAGCTCCAAACCATCAAGACTCATATTCCGCCATCTCGTGCTTTACCCATTCGTGAAGATAATGTGCCGGATTTCTTCAAATTAATGAGGAGTAATGGAAGGGTTATGAAAAACCATATCATATTCGAGATTCGCCTTCCATTAGTGGATCTCCAGCAGTATGATTTATTCAAAATGGTCCCCGTACCTATGCTGCGATCCGGTCGATTTATTTCAATAGCTTTGAAATCAACATTATTGGCAGCTAACGTCCATCGGGATGAGTTCATATCACTAACAGCAGAAGAAATGAAGAGCTGTATACATACCATAAATGACGTTTACATTTGCGACAACCAAGCGAAGTTTAGCAAAGGCGATCGGTCACATTTATGCGAGGTGAATTTTTATTGAATAAATCGTCAGAAGCGTGTGACATGGAATCCACCATGCACCACCAAACTTGGAGACAAATGGAACAAACGAATAAATGGATGTTTACTCTAGTCAATTCAACAGAATTGTCCTTTGTTTGTGGTACCAAAATGACACACCTGGAGGTGCAAGGAGTAGAACTTTAGATATTGGACCAGACTGCATTCTCAAGCACAACAAATTTACAATATACGGTCATTACGAAAACAAAACAACAGTGCACACATCATATCTGAGACTTAAGCCACTGGATTCCATAATCTCAAGCAATAAGCTTGTCTTGCTCAACACAACATTAAACAGCACCTATGAAACACATGCTTCTGAACTCGTCACCTTACACCAACAGCTTAAAACCATTGAAATCGGACGCCTTCCACAACTAATGAAATCGTCGGCCATTCACCATCACACCATCAGCTATCTAGCTCTTTGCATTGGAATTGGAGTAGCCATATACGTCACTGTCTAGTTTCGTCACCACACAACTTCCAACAACAACGTCAACCCAACACATATCCCCCGGCAGTTAGTCTCATCATCATACGTCATTGACCAGACAGTTTCTTGAACGTTCCTCGTTCAACGTGGGGGAGAATGTTCAAAAGAACATAATTTTTCCACATAATATTTTTGTCTTTGTTATTTAATAGTTTGTTCTATGTCAGCATATAACTGACCTAATATAATTTTGGTTTCATTGTTTATTTTATACAAGTCAATAACCCAAATAAAGAAACAACTCGATTGGTTTCACAATTGCATGGGTTATTGGCTGAAGTATTTTATTGCTTACTTTGCATTTAATGCTAGTTTTATTGATATCCAAAATGTATAAATACCAAGCGAAAATAAAGATTCTTGCAAGAAATTGTAAACATACCAAGGTTACACAATTCAAGTGTTGTGTATATCTGCTTTAACTCACAAATAATAAACATTTTTTGGTGACACCGACGTGATCCTGACAAGGATTACTAAATTCACTCATAAATTTTGAATTTCCCCTCACCAGTGGTAAGGAATTTTAAATATTTATTTGTGAAAGGAGCTAGTTACGTACAACTAGTAGCACCATCCAAGAGCCAGAAACATCTGGAGAAGAAGCCAGTTCCTACATCTGGATCAACTGATAGTTAATCAGGCCAAGGCGGACCTACAGTAATAGAACAACAACAAGCAGCAATTGCCGAATTGAGGAAGGCGATTGCTAACGTGAAAAGGGCTCCACTGGAAAGAAGAACAGCGGAGTTCTACGCCCAGAAGTTAAGGGAAATGGATGCACTCTGGGCGGATATCGACCGCAATGAAAACAAGATACGAGTGGATCCTGCAGCAGAGTCACATCCCCATATCGTCAGTAACGAGTACCAAAACATTGGAGAAGAATATAGGACTGCAGTCGATAACATCGAGGCAGAGATCAAAAGGGGCAAGGAACGAACGCCTCAAAAACCGCTTGCGGCAACAAGGGAGGGTGTACAAAAACAAACTAGCGAGTTTACTGCAACCAGCAGCGTGGCAGCATTAGTGAGACGTCAGAGAGCTCTAATACAGTCCATTCAAACTTTAATAAGGGGCAGTTCAGGCCAAGCTGCTCCCTGTCAGACAGTGGCTGCAGTTGAAAAACTGTGGATACACGTGGAAGATATCCACTTCAAAATGTTCGAGGACTTTGATGACCCAACGTTGGTGGGTTACGATGCATCAGCATACGTTCTCTTAGACGAAACGTCGTTAAGGTTCAAAGAAGAAATATCGACGCTAACACAGGTCGATCATTCGTCGTCTCAACAGAGATCAGGCTGGAACTTGGCAAATCAATTTAATCTGCCAAAAATTACAATCCCTCAATTTAATGGGGATTACTCGAAGTGGCAAACGTTTGCTGACATTATTGGGAAAATGATCAACGAGCAAGCCTTGCCACAAGTCCAAAAAATGTGGTATCTCAAAGCCAACGTGACTGGGGAAGCCGAGAAAGTCATAAGGCACCTCGTGTTGAACGAGGCGAATTACGACATTGCCTGGAAGACACTCAAAGACAGGTACAACAACAAGAGAGCTAAAGTGTCAACTAAACTTGAGAGAATGCTAAACTTGCCCAACATGTCTGGCGATAGCAGATCAGTGAAGGACTATCATGACAGTCTTCATGAATCGTTATTGGCATTGGAGGGACTTGGAGTAAAGCCAAAAGAATGGGATCCACTCTTAATCCACATCCTAACAAAGAGGATGGACAGTCGATTGTGGATTCCAAAGAGCTCCAAACGATGGAGCATTTCATGAAATGTTTGAGGAGTCGCTTCGAATCATTAGAAGCTGTTAATGGTATTCAGAGAAGCAAACCGTCAGCAACGACTGCTTCCACCACGATCCGTAGATGTCACATGTGCAAGGGTGACCACTCCCTATATTACTGCAAACAGTTTTTGGCAATGACAGTTCCCAAAAGACAAAAATGGGTTGCTTG